TATATATATATATATCATTAGATGTCAACAATTTAATGAATAAATATATAATAAATAAACATATAAAAAATAAAATTAATAAATTGCTTAATTCATCCTTTTACAATTCAGACAATTTTTTAATTATTTTTTTAACACTCTAAAATAATGTTTACAGTCACGTTTCTGTGATAAATTTTACAAGTCAAGAACTTGGGACAGAAAGCATTTAATGGAGTCATGTCAGGAGTTGTCAGGAGCTACCAGGTAACATTCCCACATAGATACTTCCCTCTTTACTTGCCCCTGACTCACAACCCAGCAGCCACAACTGGGGAGGGATTAGGTCAGCGGTAGGATTTAGAATGCTTCAAAGGGGTTGGACTAGCCACTGTGAAGCAGGCAAACTCGCTTTATTGGAACAAATTTCACATGAGATTGTCCGCATTGAACCCAGACCTACTTGGTGAAAGGCAAGCGACTTAGCTCTGAGAAAAGAGCTATCTTCCAAAAGTATTTAACATCATTTTTAATTTTATTCTAAGTAGCCAGAATGCATAACCTCTATAATATTCTTTGTAAATATTATTTACTGGATCTCAATTTAGGAAAAATAGCATAGTCATTGTTATTTTTAAGCATTGAAATCTTTGATGAGAAAATTTTTGAAGCTTCTATCAAAGAACTTCTGTGAATAAAATAATAAATAGCAAACGGGCAGATATCAAGGAATAAATACACTGTTATATGAACAAAATAATAGCCAATGGAGGAGATACACAGCTCTTAGCAAGATGATACACATTTCGAATGCTATCTGTCAGGAAGAAGACAATTGAAAAGTGGGCATTACGACTAGCAGGACAGAATGAGCTTAGCCATGACAGGATACAGATGACTTACAGGACAGAACAAACTTAGCCATGAGAGGGTACGGATGTATGCCAGCAGCGTAGTTGAGGTCATATAATAACTTGGAGTCATGATAACTGAAGGGAAATTTGAAATGTAAAATTGTGCGACTGTGCAATTTGTTAGAAATTGTGTGACAGTCTTTTAAGGGACAGACTTTTGATCTGAACGAGTTCCAGCAGAGAGTTGGCGTGGAGCCATGAAGTTGAAAAGAAAATACCACATGTTGTCAGACAAGCTTGTTAAGGAAACTACAGGGAAGTCTATAAAGCTTTAAGATGATTTTTATGTAGAAAGATCAAGTTATGTTTTATGTAGATTTAAGGATAGTTTATAAGAAAGAATCAAAAAGGGATCATGGCCATGAGAAGCAAAAGGAGGAAATAACTATAAATAGTGTATGAATGTGATGTTTTCTATTGTTGTGATACTTTGATGTGATTTTGTCATTGGTTATTTGTAGTAACCACAAGGGAGCTGTGGAATTTGTACAAGAATTGGTGGAAGCAAAAATTATAATGTAATAAATGAAAGATGAATGCATTTTCTTTTTTTAAATATTTATATTCAAGAATCAGAATTTATTACGCAAATATTTCATTGTTTTGCTTTTTGGCTAATCAGACTAATGCCAAACTACAAAATGCTTGCTTTCACACTTGAAATCCCATAAAGGCAAGTCCGTTGATTTACGTATTTTTCTATGACCCACAAACAATTCCGTTTCTGAAACTAACAAGAGTGAAAGAAATTAATTAATATTCATAAAAAATTGAGCAAGCCAGGGAAGGTGAAAATTAGCTATTAGTATTTTAAAATAAATTATTATTAATTTACAAGAGAGAGATCAGTGGGAGCGATATGAATAATCCATTCTGACAATCAAACGTTTACCACCAACAGTTATTGTAACAAAAAGAAGCTCAAAGAAGTTAGATTATCACACTCAATTTTAAATTGCAGTAGTCTTTATAAATAGCAATAAATGCCATACCAGTCCTTTAAAAACACTTGTTGATAAGACGCTATCTTTTCTAAAAATAGTATAGTCCTGCAAATCAATTTCAGCCTAGTCAAAGAAGTCACTAAGACAGGTGGTCTCTGTTAAAATTGACCGTGTGACATCTTTGACGTCAAGGTAGCAATGAAGATTTGAAACATGATGTAGCTTATCACAAAATCCACTGACATTCTGGTAGAAAACTTCCCTTACATGTTTTTCAGGGGTCTGAAGGGAAAAAATGTACAAGTGAAAAAAAGTGTAACTGGCATTGAATATATTGGGCAGAACAGAAACTCAATAATTATACACTGGCGTACTCCACTCTTGGACATTATCGCAGGAACTGCTACCAACATTACTTCTAATTTATTTGATATGATTAACTTGGTCAAACAACAGTAAAAACTGAATGTGATGAATGAAGAAGAAGTACCACCTGCACACGTTTTCTTACTGCTCCTGCCACAACTAACAAAAGGTTATCTCAACAAAACATGCTCATAGTGAAGCTACATTTATGTCCATAAGCAAAACAAGGGGCCACCTCAGCATTTGCAACATGGATTAGGTAAATTGGACAAAATCCTGATGATGGCTGAATGCTGAAATACATTACTTAGAAGGCGTGTGAGTCAAGCTTAACCATACCCAGTGTAAAAGATACCACTGATACTCACACTTTTGCACACAATGCAACTTTTCCTTTATGGGCCAAGACCACTTGTACATCTGGGCCACATGAGCATTGTGTTGATGTGTGACAATCCCTGCGTACGTGAATCCCTAACTGTGCATCACAGCTTAACGTTATCTAACGCAAAATGGCATAGAACGCTCTTCGTGAAGTGTTATTGCTAACATGCATCATCTCAAGGGCGTCGCGCATTGAAAGTCAGAAAACACATATTACCTGAACTTACACTGTAGCTTGAGGATCTTGCTTGACCTGTGGATACAACACACGTTGCCAATGTTATTTACGTTGTACAATGTTATTATTAAGATACAATGTCTACAATGTGCTTAAAGTAACTCATATGAGCAGACATCAATGTATGACCGTGTGACAGACCTGAATGACATTATCAATATTTGATTCCCTCAAGGTTCGATATTTCCTTTAAATGACCTTTTAACGTGTAATGTTGGTAAAAATTAAACCAAGCCGCATTAAACAACACAAGCGACTATTTTTTCATCCTGTAGTTTTGTCCAAAATTCTATAACGAAGATTTGCAACCAGTTGAAATACCCAACATAACGATAAAATTACACTATGTGAAAACTGAATTCAACATAAACTTTTCTTGGACTCCTCTATGATAACGTAAATGTTCTCGCTTATTGATCACCGATGTTATCATTTGGACGTTCTATGGTCTTAATGGGACTTCCATTGTAAAGTATAAGCTCGAAAAACATATAAATGTAAAATGCATATCTCTAATAATTGAACATGAGAAGTATAGAAAGTTATCCAGAACTTACAAATAACATATGAACATGAGTAAAGTATCATTGCAAAATGCACAAACAAGAGTTTTACTGAATCTTCACGGGCAGATGGCTTTAACCAAATTAATTCAGATGGGGAAAAAGACTTCCTTTTTCCCCAAAGACAACTTTTAATATCCTTGATTTCTTTCTTCCATTTAGAAATGGATTTCAATAAATCACGAAGTGCCCACATTCCCTGTTCACAATCCTCACAAAAAAATTTGATTATCCTTCCACCACTCAGCTGAAGTGCCAGTTGTTAAGCAGTAGTTACTTTGGCAGAGTTATAATAAAAAATTATGCCGCAAATATCACCCATGGCAAACATCTTCATCAAACATGCTCACTGATGAAGCTGAGAAGCTGAGATACCAGCTCACTGAATTTAAACAACGAAGTTGACTTTCTTCGGCAGTTGACACAGTCAAACACCAGCCTTAAAAATTTACTCAAATCTAGAGAAGGAAAAATAAATGCTCAAAATTGCAACTCTGAAAAGCATAAGTATCAACATAATGAACACAAGGCATACCAGCCCTGAGGAAGACCACGATAGGATGGTCGAAACGTCGGCAACTCAGCCTTCGACGCGGCGTCACCCGGACAGCCCAGATCACCCATTATGAACACAACACAAATATAATAAGGCAAGAAAAAAATTTCAAATATTATTCTGTTGGTGTAATGCGTTCCTTAATATCATTATGCACTTGCATGCAAGTGTATTGTTGTCAAAAGTTTAAAAATGTACCGAGTTATATTTTGATAGATTCAGCAAAACCCTCAATAGAATCCTCAGAACTTGGTCACTGTGGAATACCCCTTGTTCCTTCCCTTCAATTCTTACAAAACTTTCATCTATACCAAATGTCCGAAAAATTAACCCATCTACATCTCTTACCTGCAAAGGAGGTTGACCTTGGGAAAGTTGAGTGCCTTGTGTCCCAGGTGGCATCTGCAGATGGGGTTGCCCTTGTAGCTGTCCTTGCCCTAATTGCTGCCCAGGTACTAACTGCAAACATAAAGATTCTTATAAATTAATCTCTCATATTTTGGCACCAAAAATGTTTATATCAGAAACCAAAAGTGGTAAGCAAGACAAAATTAGCCAGGTCAATCATCAATAAACATCATCAATCAGGCCATCAATAAACAATATCAATTAAAACTTGAAACTTTATTTAGTTTATATGTTTTTTTTTATTAATTTCAAAATGTTCTGAAAATTAAAATTTTAAGAAATAGAAAATATTTCAAAGAAGATAACCTTTGTGTGGTAAAATCAATGTACATTAAAATTGCTATATCATGTAATTCAATGTATTTAGCACTATCTACATAAAAAGTTTAACTAAAGATTTGGAGCTCTTTTTGAGAAAATATAGTTTCTGCTTATCTCAAATTGCACAATTTTGAACTCATTTTCAATGTAAATGTTGTGAGTTTTCAAGAAACTTTATAAAAAAACATTTAAAGCACTTGTAATTCACAAGTACAATAGGTAATGCATAAAAACACCCATAATGTAAAAATTAATTACATGAGTGATATATAAAGAAAATTACATTTCTGTAATTTCTGAAAAAAAACAAAATAATACATTAAAATTATGTTTATGTCATTATTCAACATATTCAGCCCAGATTCTCAGAAAAATGTTTTTCAATTTTTTTAATATTGCTCATATTTCAGCACCAAAGTTACAAGAAAACTATTCATAATTTGAAAAAAGTGCACGACCCATTTAAAAATATAATTTTTTTAGAACATATTTTGTTGAGAGAAAAGACTGTCTTGAATACTATAGTTGCAGGAAGATGCCAAGAAAATTGTGAACTTTTCATATTTTTGTAAATTTAGATATTTCAATTAAACTGTGACCAGCACCAATTTTTTTATCGTTCTTTGCATTATCCGAGAATAAAATTAAATCAAAAAATTTGGAGCCATTTCAAGTAAAATTTGAAAATGTCCTTGAGGCTTTATGTGAAGTACCTCCAAAAACTGGGAAATATCAATTGGAGTAAAAATCCGCCTTACAGTTTAGCTGCTAGTATTGTTCACACATGGACAGATGTTTTGTCATTAACTAATTTTTTTGGTATCAAGGATCCACAAAACACATTCTGTCTACATAATGTATTAGAGAAAGTAATATACAGGAAGAAGAATTATCCCATTTTTCAGTATCAGGGACCTACATAAGAAGGTTTCTACCGAAACATAATTTTCATTGTACTACATGTGTAGTATGTGAGAAAGAAAAATCTAATAATAAAATTCTCTAATTCAGAGGTTGAATCTGTTCAGCTATATATATACACATGGGGAATCAGAAATAGAACTGTGCAAAGTGCAATGTCTATGTGCCTTACACACATGGTCCTGCATCACACAGACACACAAGAAATAAAAGAATATTGTTTCATAGGTGATACATGGTGAAGGGCAATCATATCAATCTACAAAGTTAATCCTTTAGCAAGACCGACACCCACAAGATTACCTTCTGTGCTTCGTACTGCACCACATGCCTTAGTTACCACAGCTGCTTGAATTAACACAATCTGAGCGGATTATTGTATAATGAAAACCGAATTGATACTGAAGCCCCATTGCAAACGCTCACCCCTGGACCGCCTGGTGGCCTCCATTGCTGGCCTCCAGCTGTTTGTTGCAGCACTATGCGTTGAGGTGGAGTCGGATGCTGTTGGAGCTGCTGAGATGAAGCTTGGGACTGCTGCATTTGCTGAAGTTGTTGCTGTTGAAGTTGCTGTTGTTGCAAGTGCTGTTGTTGAAGTTGCTGCTGCTGCTGCTGCTGCTGCTGTTGAAGTTGTTGCTGTTGCAAATGTTGTTGCAGTTGTTGTCCTGGTGCTTGCTGTTGTTGCTGCTGAATACCAAGAATTAATCCTGCATGTTGTTGCTGAGATTGGGGTGGTTGCTGCTGCTGCTGCTGCTGCTGCTGCTGTTGCTGTTGTTGCTGTTGTTGTTGTTGTTGTTGTTGTTGTTGTTGTTGTTGTTGTTGCAGCTGCCTTTGTTGTATCAAATGTGGCCCCTGAAAAAACATTTTAAACCTATGTCAGAACATTTGTAGCAAAACTCAATGAAATCCATGTGGGTTTGTTTACTTTTAGCAATTGTTAACAGCGATGAGTCATGTACCAAAAACACCATCAATACACCAAAATCTTTATTAAGTTTCAATGAAAATCCATGCAACTCGCATAAAACCATTTCCTATTAAAAAAAATTGAATGTCAGAAATGAGTCATGGGATAAGGTATTAACCCAGAGAACTCTAATACTCTCAAAAGTATTGATATGATGGCATTAAAAATTCAAATTCACAACATCAATTATTGTAAGAGATTGAGCATAACTAGTGTGTTGAACAGATTGGTTTCATACCAGATGTTAGCTTAACTTTCTTCTCCTTCATCTTCATGTCATTGTCAGTAGAAAATGTTTTCAAGTCGAAATTGTTTCCATAATGAGACTGATATTGTTATCTTATTGTTATTTTTGGAATCCTACCCAAATGAAAGTTCTGTTTTTGGTTTTTAAAATTGTCTTTATAATTTTGTGTTACTTGTTATCTAAAGACAAGTTCTAAGAAGTGATTAGTAGAGAAAAGATACGAGATCAGATTTGAACAAACTTGCAGAACAAAATGGAATTTTTAATCAACAGTACAAACAAATCAAGACGAGAATTAAAATCATTGAAAATAAGTTGTCTTAATTTGATAAAATTAAATAAATTAAATAAAACTCAGATTGATCCCAATAATATGATATATGAGATAAATGAACGCAGAAAACGAGAAACAGAGGTTATTATTTATGGTGTAACTAAAACTGAAAAATCAATTGGAGCAGACCGGCGACAAGACGATTATGAGAGAGTGACGGAATTGATTTCATAGGAATCATCAGAAATGTTATCAAATGGTAAACTACGTCGCCTGGATCCTACACCAGGGAAGACTGCCTTTGCTGATAAAGACCTCATTGGTAAATGATTCTAGAGCGTTATTAAAGATTAAACCAATCAGTGACAAACATATCATTCAAGGCAAGTTTAAATCAATCTCAGCGAAATCATCTTAATGCTCTGAGTTCTGAACTTGATATCTTGACCAAAAATTGTAATAACAATGTTTTATGTAAACATAAAATATATTAATGGAAAACCAAAGATAGTCAATAAGCATTCCTTTCGTCAGTCAAGAGAAAAGCACAAAGAAACAAACTTCTAGTCTTCTATCAAAACACAAAAGGTTTGAGAACCAAATTGAATCATTTCTTAACTTCCTCCACAATCTATCATGGTGATATTATATGTGTAAGTGAATCGTTGTCAAACTCTTCTATCTCAGATGGAGAAATAATAGATATTACATATGTGATATTTAAAAATAGATTGAGATAATTTAACAAGTAGCTGCGATCGTGGCGGCAGAGTTTTCATTGTAGTAAAACAAAACATTTCTACTGAACTATTAACTATTGATAATACCAACATTGAGCAAGTGTTTATTGAAATAAAATGCTCTGAAAGTGACATTATAATCTCATGTGTTTACCTCCCACTACTAGTTTGACTATAGAGACATACATCAACTATATGGCAACAATATCATACATACGGGATAAATATTCAAATAATAAATTATTAATCATCAGCGATTATAACCTACCAAGAAGCAGCCCACATCATGACTGTGAGAATAGTTTATACAATGAAATACTCCTGTCAGATTGTCATCAATACAGTGAGATTTGTAATATAAACAATGATATTCTTTATTTATGTTTCAACAGTTCAGACTTGAAAGTGCAGAAGCCAGAAAGCTTTCATTAATGAAGATAAATACCATCCAGCGCTGAGCATCCATGTTGATATTAAGAACCTCAAAACAAACAAGGTACTAACTTATAACATCAAAACAGCAGATTATATGGAACTTAAACAGTTTCTTTCTGAGAGTAAACTGGATTGACCTTTAAAAACTTGAATCATTGAATAATAAAGTTATTTGATTTTATAGAAAAATCAAGGAAGGAATTGAACAATTTGTTCAAATATACACTAACAATATGAAAACTTATCCTCGCTGATTCACCAGATAATTAATAAACAAAATAAACCAGAGTTTTCGAGAAAAAGACGCACATACAAAAAATAAACAATCAACAACACATTATGCTTATAATTGTTTCCAAGAGCTCAGTCTGGAATGTTAAAAAACTGGTGAAAAATATTACAAGAATTATATATCAAGAACTGAGGAAAAGATAAAGACAGATGCCAAACAATTCTGGAATTTTATTGACAATAAGTGATGAAACATTCAAGATATCCCATCGACTACATCATCATGTAATGACGTTATGGCTAAAAATGGTAGTGGTGGTGGTGGTGGTAGGTGTGTAACTTTTATTCATCATTTTTTGAAAGCAGTTATGCAAACAGGTCTGATGATACATCTACATCATTGATTCGGAATGAAGAGATATTAGCTAAACACGACATCAATCAGCCTGAATTAAATGTCTGATGATGTGTTCGAGCAACTATGTAAACTAGTAAGATATGGGTTCAGCTGGAGTTGCTGAACCCATAACTTACATCTTTAACAAATCACTGGAATCAGGCATATTCCCAACACAGTGGAAATTTTCATAATTACACCAATATACAAATCAGGATCCAGATCTAATGTGATCATCTACAGACCAATTTGCATTCAATTTTCCATATCTAAATTATTTGAAAAACTTATTTTACCACAGGTAACTTTTCTCTTCAAAAATATTACATCAACAAAACAACATATTTTTTTATGCACATCTACCACTACAAACGTCTACCTATATGTAAATGATGTGCTTGATGGTATGAATGAGGGAAGGGTACAGGGACAGTCTATACAGACTTCAAGAGAGCTTTTGACATGGTGGATCATAATATATTATGCAATAAATTGCATCAATACGGTATATAAGGTAGAGCAATGGACTATTTGACAGAGATATCTACAGGTCCAGGTAAAGGGTCACTCTCTATTAAGTATGAAGTAACCTCCGGTGTTCTACAAGGGTCACATCTAGGACCAATCCTGTTTTACATTTTTATTAATAATATCAGAGACAAAATAAAAACAAAATATTTGTTATACGCTGACAATTTAAAAATCTTTAGGAATATAATTAATAAAAACGACATCTATACAATCCTGGTTCGCTCAATATTAGAATACTGCTCGGTTATATGGTCACCACATACTAATCTTCTTACTGACAAAGTTGAAAAAATACAGAAAAAATTCTGCAATTATGGCAGGTATTATACTGGCATTAAAAGATATAATATTGATATCACAGACTCATACAATCAACTTAAAATAGCCAATCTTTCGAATCTGAGAGTAGTTATGGATCTTTTTTTTTTTTTTAATCTATTAACGGACAAATCAATTGCCCCGAAATATTGGCACGATTTGAATAATTTGCCCCAGACCTGGTTTGAGATCATGAAGACTATTAAATTATATATACCTATAAGTGAAACTTTGCTGTACTTTACATTCAACATAAATAAATTATTTATTCCATTTCAAGATCCTGGGAAGCTTATAATAACACTAAACATAGTACAGTAGCCTTCATGTTATTAAAAGGAACATAGAATTACAAGACAAAGTAAAATATCAAAATAACAAACACAGAATTTTAGAATAACCCACAACAAACATATAAACATTTCGAAGGTAAGACATCCATCATGCCACAACTGCACTACCCTCCTTGAAGGAGTTAACCCCACACCATTGAAAACTTACCAGCGTACGTAGCTGCTGGACCATTTGTTGTTGCTGTTGTTGTTGTGAGGGCGTCAACTGGTGTATAGTAGTGTTGGGTGATTGCCCCATAGAGCCCACAGTTAATGTGGATAGTAATCCTCCAGAAGCACCCACTTGCTCGCTACTCACAGCAACAGGACATTTAGGAGGCATTGACACTGGTCCTTGAGGTTGAGTTTGAGGCTGAGGAGGTAGGGGCTGTGGTTGAGATGGTGGTGGTGGCTGCTGTTGATTCCAAGGCATACGTTGTTTTAATTGCTCTAGCAGAGAAGCCTTACTGGCACCTGAGGTGCCCACAGGCCCTCCAAGACCTGTTGCTGCTGCAGAGGCTGGCGAACCATCAGAGAAACCCAGAATCTGTGATCTGGATAGGCTGTCATAGCTGCCCATATCTGCAATAATATCAACAATACATAACACTTACTCCACTGTGCCACAAGAGCTGAAGCTATCTTGCACCATTAAGTATTTGTCAGTAGTATAGACGTGCATATCCTAAAACTAGAAGGGGGGGGATATTTTTGGTTCCCCCTTTTTTATTTACATGTTATATTTTAATTCTAAATAAATAATATATCTTACAAAGATTGAAATTATAACATTAATGATTCAATAAATAAACACAACTGATTTTATGTTGAACTATTTAGAGATTTCCAGATGGCTTGTATCACAACAATTTCTAAAATGTCATGTTAAAAGGAGAACAAAAAAATCAGGAATTTAAAATTTTTACAGAAATAAAATAATTACATGGCCCTCTGGACTACCCTCTGCACATTACGGTCAGTAAGATTGGTATTTTCATAAATGCCATTTTCAGGCCAAAAATTATTTATTCATTGTTCAATCCCATTTCAAGTACAGGGTGCAGCAACATTTGCTTTATGAAATTAAGAGGAAAAGAACTCACCCGAAGCAACTGTGTTAGCCTGTGCTGGGCCCAAAGCAGGAGGTAGCACAGGTGGTGGAAAAACGAGCAAACGTGGGTGGTATGTTGCTTCTTCACAACGTGTGCCCCGGCGCACACTGTCTACCACCCAGTCAGGAGTCACAATGATCAGGCCTCTTTGTAAAGCCTTTGTATATCGTTCCTAGGCACCAAATTCAATGGGTAAAACTATATTTTTATGCATATTTCATGCCATATTTTGTTCTGTGTAGATTTTTTAACCATATTTTATGTTCTAAATGGATAAAATATTTTTAAAATTAGCATGATTATGGGGGGAGAAAAGTTAAAAAAATCTACTCTTTGGGTGCTTTGGGTTGTTTGTTTGTTTTTTGCAGTTTTATCGAGGAATCCACACACACAGTGTATCCCTCCCACATACACACATCCCAGTCATAAGTTTTCAAACTCATATAATCATCATTCACATAAATTTTCATTAATATTTTGTTTGAGCAATTAAAAATGTGTAAAACATAGCAAAGTTGTAAAGCATGTTTATTTTTTACAGTAAGTTTATTTTATGTTTGAGTTGTCTTCGTATAATCCCACACACCCAAACATCAGGATTAAGGTTTTTAAGTGCTGTTCCAAAAATAATTAATAAATGCAGGACGGTGGGGAGAAGCAAGCAATTTGGTACTTGCAATTCAGGGTGTCGTACTGATGAATAGATGGATTACACACAAGTCAGTTTTGAACTGAAACTTGGTAAATAAGTCAGGAGTGAGCGGTCATCCGTAAATTACGTAACGCTAAAGTGGTGGGGGGAATCATTATGCAGCACTACATGGAGATATGGTTACTTTAGTGTTACATTACACTGATATTGTTGCTTTTCTTTTTGAACATTTGCAGAAATAATTTCTTTTATTCAGTCTTACACTAAAACATCAAAAATTCAATTAGAAATATAAATATATTAAAAAGTTAAGATGAAATAATGTTCACAAAATCGTTGAAAATATATTTTCATCAATAGAATATTGATTGAATTTTAGATTAGGAAGAAACTATTTGAAACTGACCTATAATACCTAATGATATGCATTTACATTGTCACTCTACGAAAGTGACTTATTATACAATTTTATTACACCATTTGTAAGATATGTGTGCAACAGCTTGTTGCTGCCACTGTTAATAAATAAATAATACTAATATATTCTAGAATACAATAAAATTGATGCATCAGATTCTCTCCCATCCGTCCTCCACGATTTGTGCACTAGTCAGAAATTATCTCACCGCTTCCTTCGCGTTCCTTCCTTCATGTAAAAATTGATTGAATGAAAATTGACGCCAAATCTTGTTGTTCGGCGCAGTCACCACCGCAAATTCCATTTTAACTTTAATTATTGTTAATTTTAATACATAACACAATAAAATTTATTATAAATAGTTTTCATTGTTATATACTTTTTTCTCCTTTTTGCAAATGGTAGGAGGTGGGGGTGCAAGTGGTATGTACTTATTTAGGGGGGGTTCTAGCATGTTTACTGGGAGGGGATATATTCAAAATGTTCCAAATTTGCTTTATGTAATTTACAGATGGCTCCTAAGCTCTAGTTGCACTACTTTATAAATCATTAAAATATTTTAATTCTGGCAGTGGCTTTACATAAAGCCACAGTGACATTTTAAAAATTTTCTAGGAAATACCTGCAATTTGCTTGAATTGCAATTTGCTTGAATACAAGAAAGTCCATTTATAAATAGGTTCTAGTTCCCATTCTTATTAAAACCACTGAAATTGTTAGAATCACAAAAGTTCAAATTTATTTTCTTATTCATTATTTCTTCATGTAATTGATCCGTCAATTTTAGATCTTTAAATGAGACATAGTCATGCACATTTTTAAATAAAAAAATATGAATTGAGAAATGACACAAGTGGAAGAAAAGTTCAATTAATATTTTGAACAAGGGCGCTCAGAAGAAGCAAGAGCTTAGAGTAGTAGATCTGCAGAGACCCCTCATTTCAAACAAAAGTTGAACCCTCCCCAATCCAAAAACAGAAATAAAATGTTTGAAGGCCCCATTTACAGCAGGGCCTATTTTTTATACCCAAGATAGTTTTTGAGGTCAGGAAAAATTTAGCTAACCCTCAGAAATAGCATAAAACTGATATAAAAAAGTAAATTTTCTCATGCCATCAGTGTCAATGGAAGTCAAAATGACTTCCATTAAAGAAAAACTGTTAATCTCATGACCCCCCCACACACACACACACACAATCTACAATTCAATTACGCTTCCCTGAGAATCTCTCTCACAAATAAATTCACTGAAAATTAAAATTTTATTAATTCACCTGAATTTCGCACAGAATATGCTCCTTCCCTTAGAAAATTAATAAGTAAGATGAAACAAGTCATAGATTTTATCTACAAATTAATCCATTGAAACTCTACAGCAATAAAAAAAAATGAAAATCATATTCTTGGCCTTCTTTTAACAGCAGCAAATCACCTTCAACTAGTTCAACCTACACCCCCACATATTAGGATTACAAATGGAACTTTTTTATCTAAGTAGAATTTCATTTGAATCCATGAACACTCACTCCCGACGGATGTGTGGTGATGAGGTGGGTGCACTGGGCACTAAGAGCAGGCTGGCTGTGGCCTCCATGAAAGCTCAAAAGAGCCCAAAGTGCAATGCGGTCTGAACGGCTCACCCTGGCAACACTAGCAAAAATTCCCCCAAAGAGCTGGGAATCAGGGGGAGGGAATCCCCGAGTTCTACACAATATTCAGGAAAACTTTCATAATTTAATGTCAAACAAACATTTCTATATAATATAGGATTCAAACACTAAAACTCTGAAAAGAGCAACCGCATGTATCTGCACCACTGACTTAAGCATTAATTACACCCTCTAAAAATAAAACTTATTTGAAGAAGGAGATGGTCACTCTAGCTCCCATATTCTTAATCCAAATACATCATAAATTAATGATGTCATAATATTGAGAAAGAGTTAATGGAAATGGAGTGTCTTAACTTCTGAACTCTCTTTTAAATTAATTTCATTATTACAAAGAAAACTTGTTAATATCCTTAATGAAATGTTTTTGTTGTTTATATCTCTCTATATATACATATATACACACACACACAAACACTATGTATGTATGTATGAAATTAATAATGGGTTCAGAGGGCAAATATAACTTCATTAATTTATTGGGTACCTACAAAATCACTGTAATCTTTGAAACTTTGACAAGAACCTAGTATACTAACTACACCACAAACTGTTATTATCTTTCAAAGTATTTAGCAAACTCTAAACAAGGATACGGGAGTAACTTCTTGCACTTCACTGACAATGTCACCCAGTTTTGTGACACGGCAGGCACTTCGTACAACTCTTTGGCATCACAAATGTCATTTTCGGAAGCATCGTCACCAACAACACAATGTGTCACAAAATCGGAGAAATAGTTCATACGCTCGCCACCGTGCTCTTGCAGCAAACTCAGCACCTGGAACGCGCAGGGCAGAGAAATATATCAACAATACACTAGAAACGCGAGCAAGTTGGCACAACCCTTTGCGAGAAGGGATGAACACTCTACCTCATCTTTCACCCTTCCGCTGACGTAAAACTTTACATTCTTGAATAAACGCTCTTCTAATTGAAGTTCCTCTATACCT